CCCCAAGCCCTCTCGTCCCCTCTTGCCCCTAAACTGGTGCTCGCCCCCACCCCGCTGCGCACATGCCAGCCTCATCCCCTGAACGCGCTGCGCCCCTGCCCACCCACTGACATCCCTGAGTTGAGGCCCCCCGCACTGACAGGCTCCACCGCTGTTTTCCTCCATAATCACACACGCACGCACATACTTATACCGACCGGCTCCTTCAGTTCGGACAACGAACTTCCCCTCCGATGCTGATCCATTTCGCCCGCATTGATCTCATCTCTCCCTGACACACCCCCAGCCAACCATGACACATTGTTGAATACTCATCCCGTGGAAGTTGCCCTGCTGCCTTTACACCCTGAGTCACCCAGAGTAGCTTCCTAGCACAAGTTAAAGCTTTTGGGGTATGCCTCATTATGGGATAATATCAAATTAAGATATACAACTTCAGCTACATTAATTGTGTAGCTGAAGTAGAAGTATCTTAACTCGACTTGTGGTGCTGTCCACACTTCAGGAAGTCAAATGGAGAACCCTCTCTCTTGTACTTCCCTTATTCTATGTGGAAACAGAACTATCCACATCGACTGGAGAGCCCCTGTAAATTCGAATTAGCATGTCTTCATGAGACTCACTAATTTAAACCTTGGAAGATCGACAGTGGCAGCTTCGATCTTCTCTGTAGTGTAGACATACGCTTTAAAGGTGTTTGGAGAGAGCAATACAGCTGCTCTTTCAGTCTGGGGCTGGGAGAACTTCCAGCAGCGTTGTGAAAATAGTAAATATCTTAATAAAGAAATAAGGTCAGATCACTGTCTCTGAGTTTATCTGTACACAAAAATTATATCACTTTAAGTAAACTGGTACAACCCCTGGAAGTGTTGATACAGTAATACAGATATAAAATTCCCTTTTACTTGGGTAACTTACCATTAAGAAAGCAGAATAAGCTATACTGCAAAGTCACCTGTTTACTAGTACAGATGCTTCAGATTTTACCAATATAATTAAGTTAAACCTCACTGCCTTAAATGAAACAGTTATTAGTAAAATATCTGCACTTAGTTCAGGA